GATTATGTACTTAATTACACAAAACAAGAGACTTTACATTACATCGGTCTCTCAATGGGAAATACTGTGTTATTCACTTTACTATCCACGAAACCTGAATACAATATAAAAATAAAATTGGGTATCTGCCTTGCTCCAGTCGCCATTTGGAAAAAAATACCGTCTCTAATTCAATATATTCATAATGTGCCAAATATTAAAGTAAGGAAATATCAAAATTTTATTTGAAGAGAAATAAAGGGAAATACAATTTATATATAAATTCTATACATTCTAACGTTATTCTAATAAGAGAATAGGTTTTAGTAGCAGCACTTTATTATTACATTTATTATTAATGTAATAATAATTATTAGAATTGAGTATAAGTTTTTGAATAAATAATTGATTTATAAAAATATTATTTCTTATAATTTATTTTTTGCATGAAATGTTTTTTTTATATTTTTTAATAAAATTTTTATTGGAAATATTATATTTGATTATTTATTATTAAAAAGAATATCAAGTTAAACTAAAAATAATGTTCAACAATGTGATCACATTGACTATACAAATTAATTATTTCTTGTACCTGTATTATATAAGTTGTACATTTTAATATTTGCGTTTTGACTTTTATTATATTATTATTTTATCAGTAATTATACATATACATTTTAGAAAGTGAGATAGACGTACATGTAATTATTTTGAAATTATACATATATTTTTTCAAATTATATTGTGTATAGTTTTTATTGCATTTCTTTTCAGTATATATTTTATATTTCCGTTTATATTTGTTTAAGAAATATCTTGATTTCAATGAAATATATGAAGTAGCTTCCTTATCATCGACAACCATTACACTTGGAAGAACACTGTGTACAGATGAAACAGTTATTACTCAGTCTATCTGCGCTGCGATATTATATCTGATCTACGGATTCGATCCAAACCAACTTAACGCTGTACGTCATATACATACCTAATTTAGCGTGATTTTACTAATTATAATACTACCACTGTTTTTACATTATTTAAGGACTAAGAATAACAAAATAATATTTTTGTAAATTTATATCTTTTATATTTTAATGTGCAATAAATCGAAATTGTTTTTAATAAAATCAATCATTGCAGACAGTATTACCGGAAATATTTTCGAATTTTCCGAGTGGCGCTTCCGTACAATTACTGCATCATTATTATCAAAATATGATTACACGTGAGTATTAATTCCTTTCATCTTCAGAGATAACAATATAAATTATTATGTATTTAGTATATAGAAAAAATGTTTGTTAAATGTTATTTATTAATATTATCAGTTATTGTTTCTACTTCGTTTTTATTACCCTTATTACTAATAAGAGTAATGAAATTAGCCTTAGTAAAATAACTGTCACAATTCTTTTAAGCGCGTTGGACACTATCATGTGATTTTTTATGTTTATCTAAGTAAATCTAAAATTTGCAAATATTTCTTAATATTAATTCCATATTTATATACATAATTAATTAATGTACATAATTGATTGTTGCAGAGAAATTTCAAGCCTATGATTATGGATATATCGGCAATTACAAAAAATATGGACAGATGACACCTATAACGTATGATCTTAAAAAAGTTACCGCTCCCTTGGCTTTATTTTACGGCGCTAATGATTTGCTTGCTGCAAAATCGGTAAGATCACTGTTGATTCATATTTAAAAACATATCTAGATTAAAAAATATTGAAAAAAAAACTAAAAGAAAAATAAAATTTTATAAATTATATGTGTAGTTATAGTATTTTCACAGTAGAAACTCTATCTGTGTTTCATGCAAACTACAATTAACTTAAATAAAAAATAAAAAATATTTTTACTTGTAAATAATTAAAGATTATTTTAAGTTTTTAAATAAAACTATGTTTTTTCCTTTTTGTAATATTATACGGAATATTTTCCTTCATTCTCTTATTTTCTTCGTATTTCTCTTTCCCCTTTTATTTCTTCAGCCTACATGGTTATTTATTTATATAAAAATATCATTTAAAAATTAATTATATTTCTCAAATTATTATCTGTTATCTATTATTATGTATTACTAATTTTATCTTCTTGTTTCTAGAATGTCCTCGAGACATATAAGCACTTGCCGAATGTTATCCTGCTGGAGGAAAATCCGTACGAATTATTTACCCACTTAGATTTTTTATGGGCTATCGATGTTAAAACTCTAATGTACGATCGCTTAATAGACCTACTTCAGAAGTTTGAGACATGGGCAATCATTGATAAATTAATCTGTGTCTAATACTTTCTTGTTAAAAACGTTTATGTACTTTGAGTTTATATAAAAAAATATCCATCTCTATGTCTCTCTCTCTCTCGATATAAAAATTAAATCATTGGTTAGAAAATGCTGCAAATATTCTTTTTTTTACCAAATATAATAAAATATTATTGTTCATTATGGCAATATTGTGCCTAACGAAAAAGTTTCTTCCTAATACTGGCAATATATCAATTAAAAAATATTAATTGACCAAAACATAATATTAAATAAGTCCAGTATTATATTTCTGTATAATATTATGTTTTTTAATGTTAAGTGTCTGACATGTAACATATTATTAATAAATCTTTTTTGTATTTAGATTAAAAATGTATCTTTTAAATTTAATATTATAAGTGCTTACATAAAGTACTTTCAAATATCAATGAATATCTACAATGTCATTATTATTTGTTATTAAAACTTGTACACCAATTACAATAAGCAAATACTTTTTTTGTTTTAATCATTGTTTGTATTGCTGCTGATTGTAATTATTGGCACTAATTAACATATCTAAAATAATACTTAAATTTATTTTATTATTAGTAAATGTTAGTTTTACTAATTATATGCATTAATTATTTACTTATTAACACATCAAAAAGTAATTCAAATTTATAATTTGTTTTATTATATTTTATGGCACCAACGTATATATTACGACTTTAATAAAAACTTTTAGAATCTAAGGAGATCGACATCCTGCAGTAATTGAGCTAGTTACAACTCTGTTTCTTCAATTATTTTAATAATCACTCATTATACATATCTATCTATACAATTTGCATATATAATATACAAATAATAAATATTATTGCTCTTTACTTAACAATTATTTTTATTTTTGTGGAATAATGTCATGGCAACGCGGATATGACACTTATAATGACGATATTAACAGTAAAACAATCATTACTTCAACATTTCTAGAAGCTGACTTACCTTATATATTATGTACAGTGCGACAGACAATTATATTTTAAAATTTATACTTTTTCTCGATTGAAGCTACAGTCTCTCTATGCTAAACCAAACTGGCAGTGCCGATGTTAATGACGACATTGTCAGCATTTCGTTCGTAAACTGTGAGATCGTGTCTCCTTGGCTGTTCCAATAAGGCAGCGAGCTGTTCCCCGCTTGTGAATGATCCTGTCGAAGGTGACAAGATCACGTCGCATTCTAACTGACCTGCACAGAGATGAAACGGTATACCATATGATATATGATATTCTATTTCTATAACATATATATAAAGTCCTTAAATGGCAATGCCTAATTAATTAAAAAATTTTAATCAATCTGTTAAATCCGAATTATGTTTGATAAATGTTACAATAGGTATACAGCTTCATTGCTTATCTAAATTATCATTGCATCATCTTTTTACATTTACCTGACAACGAAGGCGACGCGCCTTTACTGGAGCCATACATACGGGTGCTGTATCCAGAATCATTATGAGTGTCGTGCAGCGGCGGTGTTGGACTGTACACGGGATTGCGTGACCTATACGGCATTCTCGCGATACTGTCGTAAGGCACGTCTTTGGAGATGGCCTTTCTACAGTTCATCTCATACGTTTTCGACTGCTCAACATTGTCGTCTTCCCCTTCGCTGCTCTCGCTCTCGTTATCTGTGACATTAATTGCCGATTAGAATAAATTACTGGAATCGAGGTGCATCGCACAAAAGCGGCACATAAAAAATTGACGTGCAAAAAAAATGTACATTTAGTTTTTATATTACATTGAAATAAATTATCTTTTCATATAACTGCTCTTGAGACTGTTATAGTAATTTTTATGTGTTCTCTTATCAACTGTGACATATTCATTATTTAAGAAATTTTTACCTTGAGAATGTACCCTCTGATTTTGCGAGCACTTGGTATGTTCATCCAGACTGACCTGTTCACCGCCTGCGGAGCGAATTCTCCGCCAACCATTATGCATATCAGGTACTTGCTGAAACCGCTTGATCATCTCGTGAACGCTGCGGCGACCGTTCCACTCCGTCATATTCCCGTCGCTAATCGTTTGGATCTTATTTTCATCCATGGACACGTTCATGCCATGCATGTCATACGACACACAACTCTTGAAAACATATTTAGATTAGCATTTACTATTTTAATTTCTATATTATTTTAAAATAACTAATAAATTGTTTAGATATCCAGATATGCTAAAGTTGTGCTATAAGAAAAGATATCTTATTATCACAAGGTCTTTTATTACGTCAACAAATTGATGCACTGTCAGATAATTTATCGAATTTGTCGAAAGCAGATTTCGCAAAGTGTCTGTTACATTTTTATCAGCAATATGTCATCAGAAATATATGAAAAAAATGTAAACATTATAATATATTATATCAGTTATATAAATAGTTTTATTTACAGAATATAATTAACTGCAGGAATTTACTCGACCTACGTTGCCTTGCTGACAAAACACGAGTGAACGCAGTTCATGTCAATGTTATGGCTAATTTTTTACTCCGAATTTGCTGGAAAACTAATATAATCAATATTAACAATTTACTTGCCGAATTCTTTTATAAACAGCGAAGACAATAAATAATTATGTTATATAATTCGTTCGTCATATAATTATATAGAACAACAAACACAATAAATAAATAATAATGACCATTAATGCACAATTTACTATTTTAATTCATTCAATTTCTATATTATTTCACGGGAAAACAATAATTGTTAGAGTGAACGATAATGCAGTTCAATCTTACTCTTTGTTGACGTCTCCCCTTCACAGGCATCGAGTCTGTCGGCGCCATGTCTAAGGACGAAGTTCCACTCTGCCTAATGGCCCCGTCGAACGTCTCGTTCAATTTCGGAGGAATGTCGAGCACTCTGAGCGCCGATTTAACTACGCCTGATCCCGAGGGTAGGTCCCTCATGGACGTACTAAGTCTAGGTATAGCCGGTATATCGAGATCATCTAGGCTTCCACGATGAACTGGCGTCTCACCGGGGATCTCGAAGCTACGATCCTGCGGTCGATCGTCCAGCAGATCCTCCAGCGACCTCGTTCTCGTCGGCAATATCACCTCCGACTGATTGTAATTGGTTTTCGCTGGCCTCTCGCTGTACCTGCCTCTCCCACCTCGCTGTAGACGCTGGTGAAGATGCGAGTACCTCTCGTCGCATCTGGAGCGTTCCTCCTGGACGCACCTAGTCAACTCCGAGATCTGTCCCCTCGTTCTCCTCTCCAGATTGGCCACTTTCAGGTCCAGCTTCTCGTGGGCCTGATCGATGTGCGCCTTCAACTCGGCCTTGTCCCGCTCCAGCTTTGCCTCCATATGCCGGAAAAATGGCGCGCAATAGCACGTATATCCCACACCCACCGGACCTTTACGGATATTGCCCGCCAGGTCCAGGTAGTACTGCTCACCTCGCCCCAAAGGGTCAGAGGGTAGCGAATCTAGACGGGGCTGAGGGAACGCGTCCGGGTCTGGGTAGTAGTGGCAGCCATAGGGTGACCACTGTCGGCCCATGATAGCTTTCTCAAACCGGACCTTGTGCTGTTTGCTGTTGGACTTGTACTTCTTTCGGTCCTTCTTCGAGCCGCTCTCACCGCCACCGCTGGTGCCACTTCCGGTCTTTTCTCGCTTCTTATCCGACTTCATTGCCTTACCTAAAATTATCGAATAAATCAAATATTTTAAATAATATTACAGTTGATAATTTCACAAGCTATTATAGATGCGAAATTCAAATTCCTTAGAAAATAATGCTGCCGGCGCAGCGCATTGTTCTAGATTAACTAGATTCACGCATGGGTAATAGCATAATTTTTTGTAACGCAATTCTGAACAAGCTAATCTATCTAATTATCTCTCTATCTAGCTAATCATTTAATAATTATAGACTTCATTTTTACCGTCGGTCGTCATTTTGCCGTCTATCAAGTCATCCTCACGGCTTTTGCTGCGCGTCCGGCTTTTACCGCGTGCCTTGGAAATAATTTCCAAGATTTCAATGTGATTCTTACGGCGGGCAATATCCTTCGCCGTTTCGCCTTGTTTATTCCGCAGACTTCGATCGCAACCAGCTTCCAGGAGAATGCGCGTCAATTTCCGGCGACCCATCGCTGCAGCTATGTGCAAAGCGGTGTCGCCATTCTAGGATGAAAGAACAAATGACTTTATATATTGTGAAATAATATTAAATGAGTAAATATACACGTTGTAATGTAATAACTATATAAATGCATAATTTTGATAATTTATATGTAATAAAACTTCTGAAACTTCTTGTTCAGTAATTTAAAAATTATAATTCATATTGACAACATTCGTAGCAACAAAATATTATTTAACAGAGATTTACTATCTCTCTCTCTCTCTCTCTCTTATACTTACTTTGTTTTGATCAGATACTTTGCACAGAGCTGAGATTAATATACGCATTACGCCGGCATGGCCGTAACGTGCCGAAGTATGAAGTGGTGTATCGCCGTACTAAAATGAGTAATTTAAAATTTTAATTTTTTGATAAATATAATTCGTTGCATTATACAGAAAAAATATTTTTTTTTTTTACTTGTAGTTATTTCTATAAGTAAAAAAAGTAATTGAAATCTAAAATATTATTGTCAACGTCTATTCTATACTATCGTCGTTTATTTTAAACGAAATTCTTTCTTAAAAGAATTTGAGTATTACTACTAATCTCTGTTTATCAAATTCTATATAATTAAAAATGTACTGTCGCTTTATATTTTCTGTAATCACCTACCTCTGCACAAGTACATATATATTTTATATAATTTTATATATATACTTATCTTATATAATTTTTCTTTATTTCTAAAAACGAATTTACGGTACTGCAGTATCATCGTATCTTATCGTTTCCGGTTTCTAAAGGCTTAGCTTTGCACAGTATTAACGCTAAATCCCTTGCTTTACTCTTATCTTCTGATCCACGCGCCGATAAATATACGATAAGGCGGTTGGAGGGGGGAAAAAAAAAAAGATCGGCAGATCGCTCACGTTGTTCTGAAGATCGGGATTGCTGCCGGCTAGGAGGAGCTCTCGACAGCTTTGATTATGGCCGTTTTGACAGGCGAGGTGAAGCGGTGCAAATCCGGCGAGATTCCTGGCGTGCAGTGGGGCCCGTTGGGTCCCGAGGGCCTTCGCCAGAACCGCCACGGTCCGACTGTAACCACGCCATGATGCCTCGTGCAGCGCCGAGTTTCCATGCTGAAAACGCGCCAGACATATTCATCGACGGTTGCTCGGTGCCCAGCCCGAAACTACAAGGTGTCTTGAAAGAGGCACGAATCAATCCGAGACATGGGGATTTACATAACTGTTCATATAATAATCCTCGGATTTTTAATCCGAAGAACCCCACGTTAGCATGTCTCTCTCTCTCTCTCTCCGTTCTTTTAGCTGTACCTTTTAGATTTCCAACTAAGGGATTATTATCTCTATTTCCTGCTGTGGAGAGAATGAATCAAGAGTCTAAATTGAAAACCTATATATTCAATTTACAAATTTTCTATTCTGTTCTTCTTGTTTTTAGAATAAGTATAAATTTTATAAGTTTAAAAAATAAGTTTATAGATTTATTTTACATTTTTAAATAAAAGAATTGTTTATATATATATTGTTTGTGATGTTAACTTCAAATAAAACTGTTATTTTTCATAGTAGACGATACTTAGAAAAATTTGTGTATTAAAATAATTTAAAAAGATTTGATATCTCTTTTTTCTCTTCTATCTTCCCCTCTCTATTTTTCTTTCTTTTTTTTTCTTAATTAGGAAGTTTCAAATTTTTAAGATCGTAGTCAACGTTCACATAGATTTAAAAAATTAATTTTTCTACGACACCCTGTAGATTAAATATAGGTATGAATATCTGAGTTATGTTTTACCTCGCGTTCTACGAATAGTACGATGTAATATCATTTAATGATGGTTGTTACCATTAGTGACTAGTAACACGGACACTAGTCAGTCCGTGCAAAGAAAATGTAGCGTTAATTTGTCTTTAACATGTTTTCTGAACCTTCTATTATCTTTTTTATCGCCATCTTACACAGTTATCTCTATTCGATGCTACTTAATGCCTTATTTAGCATTAAATAGCATAAACTTTGATCGAAGTTTTTCATATTTATAAAACATAAAACAATTAAAGCAAAGAAATTTTATTTAATCTTTGCTTTAATAATTTCCAGAGAATTGATCTCTTTTGACTTGTTAGATTCAAAATTAGAAATTAAAAATTTTACAATATTAAAAAAAATCAATAACAAAAATATTCAAAATCATATATAGTTCGTCAAATTTAGAAATTTTCAAATTTAAAGAAGTATCATATTTAGCATGCGGCGGGGAATTATAAAGTATTCCGTGAGGTACATAATGAAGAAATATATGTATATACTAAATACTAAATTTACCGAAGAAAAAACATTTTTATTTAATTTGATGCTTTTATGTATCTTTATATAATATTGCATAATTTTTATGATATGACTGTTTAAAAGAAAATAAAAAATTCAGTATCATAGGGTAAAGAGTGACGGCGAATCAAATTCAACGTTGGTGCAGTAATGTTTAAACTTATATAAGTTGCGGAATAACGGCTATACTTTATGACTTTAAAAATACTATCATTTTCATATAATTATGATAGTATTTAACCAGGACAGCTCTTAACTTCGTAGTACATATTAATTTCTAAGAAATTTATTACGTCCGTTAAATTGAAATCCCCCGGTTCGCCGTCGACATCGCAAACGTCGCCACGACATGCCGTGCGCGCAGCGCGCGATCGCGCAGCTGGTGCTCACAGAACTGGTGTACGGTACACGGTGTAGCGCAACAAAGGAAAAAGGCGGATGGGCAAAAGAGGATGACCGAGAGACTTACAACCGCTCGCCCATACTCGGCGAACAGTCCGCTGGTCGATGAACCGTGCCATGCCACTCGCGACAGCATAGCCGCACACATTTAACCCATACGTGTACAATGCTGCTCGGTATATAGGGTGTCTCGTTGAAAACTCTCGAGAATCACGTAACTTGATCATGCTAATTATTTGCCGTCTAAACCAGGAAGTAAACCTAATAATAGTATAAGTAATCAAAACACGGAGTTAAATTATATTATAATTTATCCTGTACGAAAAGACTCAATCAGATAAATATTTAATATAATATTATTTTAACAATCACACATAGCTTTGAAAAACGCGAAAACTGCAGTATTTCATTTTTACTTCATAACAAAAATTTCTTAATTTTAAGTAAAGATATAAGTTATATAAAATATAGTTTAGTACGATTTCTTAATTAAAATCAAACTGAACGAAAGAGAAAGACAGTAGAAAAGGAGAGAAGATAAAGTTTAAAAAAATTAACAAGAAATTTCACAGATAATTTTTTGTTCTAAGTAAATCTTATCTTTCATTTTTCCATAAAAGAATATTTTATTTCTGTATAGATCATTTCTTTTCTCGGTTGTACGAAAAAAAAAGATAAACTAGCCCACGATAAACTGTCTGCATATTATTTACAATTCATTATCAAGAAGTCAGATCATTCTTATCAAAGAGTCAGTTATAGATTTAATTTTTTATGATGTTAAAATATAAGTAAAATTCTTAATCGTGTAGTAATCTTTTTAACCAAATAATAATAAATTTTATAAATAAAATTTATTAATTTGAATTATTAAATTTTTATACATAAAATTTATTATTATTAAAATAAAATTTTAAAAATATTGATATTAAATTATTTTTAAAATTTATTATAAACTTAAAATAAAGACAATTCGTATTTCATATACTGCGATCGGTTAAAAAAGCTAATTAATACATTACGTTACGATTAATAAATTATATTGTTAGTAAAAATTAAATTAATCTTAAATTATTTTGAAGTTATAAAATATTCTACATTATGAGCACATCAATTTCTATACTTGATAAATACTAAAAATTTATTGAAACTATTAATTGAAATTAAATGATCGCTAAAAATCGCAAATGAACAGCACCGATTATAAGTGAATTGTTCTTAGCACTCGGACATCATATGTCAGGATGGCCGAGCGGTCTAAGGCGCCAGACTCAAGGTTACAACCTTACCCGTCTACAACGGGTGCACCGAGGCTTCTGGTCCTCTCTGAGGGCGTGGGTTCGAATCCCACTTCTGACAAATTTTTTTTTTCTCGTTTTTTTCAATATTATTTACATCACATTATTATCTTTATATCATTTATTATCCAAATATCTGACTATGACAATTCCCAAAGAATTTCGAACGACGCGAATTCAAATCTCACTAGTTTTCAGCTTTCTTTCCTGTTGCATTTTATGATCTGTGTATTAAAACATTATTATGCGTTTTTAATTATTTTATATATAATATGTATATGTGTGTATATATATATACATCTTTATTATATACACATCTATATTTACATCTTTTAAAAAATTAATTTCTGTATTTTTTCAATTCTTTCGATATTTAAATTTGCCTATAGTATACACGTGCTTTTAAAAAGAAAGAAAAAAGTGTTTTAATTTCGAAGATACGGCTGAAGAAAGGAAGAAGTATTTTAATTTAGAAAAGCCGGTTAACGACAGATCAGGTATATCTGGATTTTTTAACAGACGCCGGTTAAATAAACGAGTTAAGCACGTAAACACTTAATCGCAGCGATACCATCGCGGGGTCCGACCTATTATTTCCTATTGCCTAGAACACGGTGCGGGCAATGTAAGTCTCATCGATAGATATTTAATAACGTCGATACACTCAGGTAAGTGCCCGATGGTGAGGAACACCGCTGTTCATTCAAGGTCACGCTGTAATAACGGATATCAAGTATTCAGGTACGTAACTACACCGGTTGTGTGTACACCGCACGCGGTCGCACATTTGCGGGTATATACAATATACTTGAATATACCGCATCTCCCACGCCGTGCGTTCGCCGCGCGGGTAGGTAGGTAGGTAGGTATCCGGCGGGATGTTGCCGCTCTCGGAGCGTTTTAATGTATTCACCCCTCCTATGAGGACGAGAATCGGACTGGGCATGCTAATTGCCCGCGGAACAATAGTGGGATTCTTCGACGGGCATGCGATTCCCCAGGCCCAGGTTGTATCGTACATCGGGAATAATTTCGTTTTATTTCAACCCACGTATATGTGTGCGCAACATGAGCGCGTATTCCGGCGCTTGCTTTTACAAAGTCGTCTCGTGCCTATGTTCAATCCAGCCATGACGACACAACGATCGATATCAACGTACGCGCGAGTAATCTCAAAGGTGACTTGTCCTGTTATAAATTATTATATTAGATGAACGATTAACTATTCGTATGGAGAACACAAGTGTTCTTTTTTAATCTCCGATTAATCTTTTATTAATTATTAATAAGAGCATTGGAAATGTGAGAGTGTCGAGTGCAGAAAAATTTTCTTGTAAATTTCTTTAGAATAATCTTCGAAGAGAAAATAACTCTGTTTTTGCAAATCGCAAATAAAAGCAGGATGTAAAATAATATACAAATATATAAAAAAAAATGTTTCAATAGAAGTAATTATAGTGTCCGATTATGTATGAAAATGTAATTATCTTGTCATAGCTGAGATTATACTTCCCCCTCTGCGTTTAAGTAGTATTGATTTATCTCATCGCGTTACTCTATAATTTGCAACGTTTAGTAGTCTTATAATGCTAAGAAAAAGGATATGAGATACACACCGCTTTATAAAATTGCTAAATAATATTTATATTTAACTATAAACAAAAATTATTATTCGTCAATGAACATTTTTCCCTTCAAAATTTTAATCAAGGCGTAACAAATTATTTTCTCTTTTAATTTTTCGTATTAAAATAGTCTTATGATGTTAAGAAGAAAAAAAAATTAAAACGCTATTTGTGGAATTGCTAAATAATTTTTCCATCTAAATGTTCTGTCAAAATAAAAGTCATTAGTCATCAACAATTACTTTTCACCCCAAAATTTTAGCCAATGCGTAACAAACTACCCTCTCTTTTAATTTTTCCTATTAAAATAAGCATAAAGCAGAGATATTTTTAATGAAGGTAAGTATGTCATGAATATTGGCTTTCATAAAAGTTGATCATAGGTCTTCATGTATAGGGTAACTACCCCTCATAGACCGTGTGGCCTAACGGATAAGGCGTCGGACTTCGGATCCGAAGATTGCAGGTTCGAATCCTGTCACGGTCGACTTATTTTTTTATCTTTTCCAAAAAAGTATGACAGATTGTATAAAGGATATTATCCAAAGTAATGCGTGAAAAATACGTACGTAAAGATAAATATAGGTATTGTAGGTAGACGGAAAAGATAAAGAGTTATATTTTATGATATCAAATTGATATCAATTAATTATACGAATATACAATCGATACATTTTTTTAAAACAATTGTATATTTTTTTTATAATTACAGGATTTTTCGATTTAAAGGTAACACACATATAAAATTGACTTCTAAAAATTTAATATTAAACCGCGATGATAATCTTATAACTTAAGTATATACTATATATACTTAAGTGTGTATGTGTGTGTGTATGTGTATGTGTATGTGTGTATCTAATAAATTACGAGAAAATATTCTCTTCTTTTCAATAAATAAGATTGTCATATAAGACATTGGGAAAATTTGGCAAACAAGAAACTTCATATTAAGAGAAAAAATAAACAGAATCTTTTACTCAAAATTACACTATATAATAATTTTTTAACTTATTTTGCGAGCAATAAATTTGAAAGCAAGATATTTTATAAATTCTAATTTGCACGCGATCAGAAACAGTGTTTAATTTATTATTATATTTATATAATTCTTCTTAATTTTTATTAATTTTTTTATTAATTTTTTATTTTGTGTCGTTCTCGTAATGCAGTTATGATATTATCCATAAACATTCAAAATTTTTGATAGTTCTTTGCTCTAGAACCAAAAAATGGTTAAAAATTCTTTTATATCGCTGTTTTAAAACGCTTGCAGTACTTTAAACATATTTTTCAGAAGTCAGGATGCGAAATCGCAATTTCGATATCCCTTTTTCAAACAACAATTAATTTCAATTATTCGAATACTATAATCAATTTTTGTTAGAATATCTAAATTGAATCATATAGATTTATTTGTGCAAGTTCTTTAATATAAAGATTACATCGCTATTGTCCCTTTTTCTATTTTAATATTCAGAAATGTTTAATATATCAATATCTATTATATTCTAAAAATCCTACAAATTTTTATTGCCTTTGCTCTAAAATGACTAGTTTCTGTATTCTATAAAATATATAAAATATTTAATAAAATGAAATTTATACGCTGCACTACTCACATCGTCAGCGGCGCTAACGTCGACGCCCTGCAGCAACAGGATCTCGCACACATCCACGTGACCACCTGCCGCGGCCAGCAATAGAGGCCCCCGGCCATTCTGAAACACGACAGGAATCCTGAATATCTTCCTGCGACCGTGCATGCACGGTAAAACTTACTAATTAAGAGCCGTGCACTGAAAACATTCGAAAATGAATCTCCTCTGGTAACGCCTGATAAAATTTCTTAATCAGCTATACTTAAGTCCTTTAATACAAATTAACGTTACGCAAAAATTCTCTTTTTCAAAGTTTTAAACTTTTTAATATACACTTAAGCTTTCAATGATAAATTAACGAAGTAATTTCTTTGAATTTATATCTTTTGTACTTACTTGTAGAAAGGCATTAGTTTCTTCTTATCAAAAATTTCACGATTTAACAAAATGCTATCAGCACAAACACGATCTTCTTTCTATTTTGAATGTTATTTTAAATATTAATTTATTGCAACTGTTTGAAAACACTTTCGAAATTGCCTATATATATCACTGGGAAAATGACAATAAGTCAAATCTGATGGAAAAAGGTGGTAGCAAATAATTAGTAATTTTAATTATAAAATATGAAATTATAAATTATTAAATAATTAAAAATACAAGCAATCTTAACAAGCAGTTGGGTGGGCCGTTCTTTCACGTTCAGAAATGCATTAGATGAATGTGTATCGCGCCTATTTGCATTCTAATCTAATCAAGGCAGCTAATGTTGCATAGGGAATCGTGCCGCATACAAGAGTGAAGTAATTAATAGATGAAATTAATATATTGCTCCCAGTCGCCCTCGAAGCCGTTAATAAGGTTTTCCAGTCAGCGTCGCGAGCAATTACAGACAGAATTCAATTTAACGCCTTACGATAGTCCTGAACTTTCTTAATGATATTCATTAATTTAACTAAGAGGATCGTTTTTCAATTTTGTTCTTTCAAGACGTTTTGAAACATGAATGAATATGAACATATAAACAAAAATATAAAAAATAAAAAATAAATGAAATTGTATATTCAAAGCATTCTGTGCAAGCATTCTGTGCTTAATCACAATTTTTCAATTTTTAAGAAAATAGTGTAATTCTTTATTTTTTGACAGAAAATGATTTGTTGTACTAATCTGAATTTAGAAAATTTCTAATTAATTTCTCGAAAGTAATCATAAAAAATATCAAAAGAATTGCGTTTATAAAACTTGTGTTGCATAACGAAATATGTAGAGTAATCTATTTAATATTAATTTAGAACGCTTTTATGCAACTTTGTAAAGAAATTTCTGAAGAGTTACATGTTTTTAAGAGATTATATTCAAGAGTCAGTAATATTTCTTTTTAAATCTGTTTTGTTTATAATAAATTGTATGATAAAGCTGTATAAAAAATCTCCAACATTAAATTTATCATTCTGTTTGCGTACATGTGTATGTGAGTGTGTGTTTTAAACTTTAAGAATTTGAGAGTTAAAAAATCATACTTCATCAGGCAACGGTTTAACGTTTTCGTTGAGCAAGCGTGCAACTCGATCAACGTCACCATGAGCAGCTGCCTCGCGCAACTTTTCTGCCATTCCAATCGCACATCTGTAACCAGAACAATGCATATTACTTTTAAATATGGCGTGTAACGTACCTTTGGGAATCCTTTGTAGCATTATCCTTAGAATTTAAAACAATAATTTGAGTATTAACAACAGTGCTTTTAATACTCAAAATAAGTAATAACTAAATTTATAATATTTAAATTAAATTTAATAACATTTTTCTAAACATTTTTCGTACATTTTTCTAATAGAGTAATAAACTTAATGTATTATTATATATACTTTCCATTTTATAAACAGCAAATCCTTAATGATCATCCATCTAATTTTAAAACAAGTTAGATCATCCCAACATAAAAAGTCGAATTTATCTCGCTTTAAAATTTGTAGACTTAAAAATAATATACACAAATATTATTTGTTTAATTCATTTCTTTAAAAAGAAAAATTCATAATAAATGCCTTTATGCATTTTAATATATTTTAATAAATCCATCCGATAAATTTGATAGTTTGCCTAAAATAAATTCCTAAAAATTAATCTTATTTTTGTGTGTCCAAAAGATGATTCAAGCTCTCTTAAAACTGGATTTTAATATAAATAGAATTTAAATGTCTTATCTCACGGAGATAAACTTAACGCACGTTGAAATTTAAGACGATATAAACCAAGATAGTGCCTGTGAGATTCTCGTTAAGGAGAAAAATCAATTTCTCTTTCTGTCGAATCAGTGGAGAGGGAGAAGAGCCTGTGGGTGAAGTTTATACGTTTTATAGTTTTTCCAGTACCCCAGTATTTATTTTATCTCTCGCATTCACGTCGTATAATCCGTGTAACGTGCGGACAGTAAATTATCCCGATGCCTGGCGTGGCAGTATATGATCTAGGATCCGAAGTGCGTTCGCTAATGAGATAGACCTATACACTTCCCTGACGTAGCCGAGGCTCGTCGTCCGTTTGTAACATTAATCTCGGTCGTGGTTATTTCTTTATAGCGACTCTCTATAACGACTCCAGAAATAACGTTGATGTGAACCGATGATAGTACGCGGCGGAGAGAATTTACGAGCGACTCGTGAAAGTACCGTGAGGCGCGAACTAATATGTAATCTAAATGAAAACTCTTCCCTGCTGATAATTTCCGCATTTTTTTAAACAAAATTTTTTTTTTATTACAACGATAAGCGAGTCGTCGAAAATGTAGCGAGCCGACGTAATTGCGAATAGACGTAAAACCCAATTTAATATTTATCTTAGTTATTGAGATGCTCTGGACGTTAATTTTTTTAACAATAGAAAATGATGTTAGGCTAATTAAGTGTATCAGCCCGAAAATGTTGCAATTATATATGCCATTATGTCGTGGTCAGTGTGGTCCAATTGCATCCGTTCACTTCCGCGTCCCGCCTTAAAATAATAAAGCGCGTCCGGTCCAGCCTAACTTATTAGTACTGTAATACCGTTATGCGTCGCAACACTGGATTCAAATATCAGACGGCGTACACGGCGGAATCATGCTCCATCGACCGCTCAAATATAGATGGGCGCGAATTACTGTGAACACGTACATGCGTGTACGTACATAAGTGCATAAGTACATGAGATTTTCTTTACTGACGCTAGTCAATAATTTTCAAATTTGCTTTAACTGAACTATCTGTACTTGTAACAAATAGAGGGATGTAAATATGAAAAAAAAATAGTTTTTCAGATGAAAATAAAGATCCAAAATTATGACCGTATATTTTTAGAACAAATAAATAAATACAGTCAAAGACTAAAATTTACAAATCTAAGTGTAAATACTTAGCGTTACTATAACGGTTTTAATTTTTTTTATGTATGCTTTTATATAAAATTAAGGAAAACCTCTTTTATATAGCTTTTTCACACACATTAATATATTTTAAATACTTTTTAAATAATAATCATATTTCAAAACTTTTGTATAGGTTTTTCCATCTTAATTGTATGGCTAAAATGGCATAAATATTTATAAAACTAGTAATATTTTGTAATATTTAAATTAACATAATAAAAATATTAAATATTAATTAATATTTCTTTTTTAATTATTTTCATTATTATTATGCCAAAATGTTGTGTTCACAACAAATCATAATAACTCATTGAAGAGCCTTCCCAATCATAACACAAGTCTTGTTAAATATCATAATTATCAAAATTTCTTTAATTAATTAAGGAGGTGCTTTTAAAATTTATTTATTTATTTATTTCATACGTTAGTTTGATATTAAATTACGTGCTCAGATTGTCTTTATAAATCATCTCATTTGATACAAGTACGTGAAATATTTTAAATATAATGACTATATGTGTATACATTTATATCATCCGCTTATCCTCCAAAATTATAAACTGATACGTGCTTCTTCATACATATATACGTATGTACAATAAAAGAAAACGCGAAAGGATATTTTATAGATAAGCGACTGCTCTTCCACTCCATCTTTTTGTTCATATTACGAATCTGTAAATGGCTGTAGTCTTATCCTCTCTGCATTGAATAAAAAGACGGAAAGGAAAATGTGCGGTTCTTTCTCAATCATCTTGATTCCTTTCCTCCCTCTTCTTTTTTTTTGTACATGACGGAACCTAACTTCGTCAATAACTGGCGTTGCGGCGGTCGAAACCAATAATTTTGTCGTGTTTATTTTATGTGCCGATGATGATGCATCTCACGCATCGCAGTGTTTCCTGCAGCGCGATCACGCCGCGATGTTACGACAAACTGGACTTTTGTATTTTATTTGCGCGCCCTTCTGAAAGGGTTAACAGAGCTATTCCTAAGTAAACTCAATACCTACTAGGTAAATATTATATTAGATTGAATTTTACATAGCGTAGGAGGCTAAAAAATTATGCATGTACAAACTTCATTTAAGAATTTTTTTATCTATTTGAAATCAATTTTTTCTTAGCAGAAATGTAATTGAAAGCCACTCTTCTTTAATTGTCAACATAAAATATTTTGACAATTCAGTGTTATAATTAAATAAAAAGTAAATATTTGTAACATCTCGTACAGTGTTTACGAAGATTGATTAAAGAAAAACCACATTTCGATTCTGACTCGAAAAGGAAGCTTTTCTAAATCATTATTTGCACGAAAACTTTTCGTCTCATCGTCTCGTTTAAATCCTCAACACAATAGCTACAAAATTACGAACGTATTCTCTTTATTAAAATTCGACATAATAATTCTATCTAAAATATTCTACCAGTTTTTAACGACAAGATTGAAAAATATAGAACCTACAGCGTTTCTAAAAAAACGCAAACTTACTTAAAAACGGCCTTAAGATTATCGTTGGCAGCTTAACGAAATCACTGTCACGTTTCCGATTAACCTAATGATACCTAATGACTCACAAATATCATGCCAATGTGTTAGATTCGGTATTGATTATAATTATTTTACGTACACGAAGTGCATTGTACATTAGTTCAGATAAAAATTTGTAATAAAATTTTGATCAAATCGATCTCTCGCGTTTAATTACTCGTCATTCGTCATCTTGTCATCTCAAAACAAAAAAAAAAGAATAAATACTTATTTTATATTTTTCTCCGAATTTTTTGCCTAGAGAAAGTGATAGCAAAGTATATAATATCAACAAGACATACCGCGTGAGTTTAAATATAAAATACTTGACGAGGAAATCACTGAAAAACAGCAATATTCTTTCAATAACATATATAATAGCCCTCCTCACTGAAAACGAAATCGTTATAGACCGAATAAATAAGTATTCTTTATTGCAGCATCGCAATACTGTGAAATTAGTGCGCACAATAATCATAATTTAATTAAAAGTTTAAATTAAACAAAAAATAAGATATTATATTCACAACCAAAAAAATAATTTACAAAATTACTAAAAAATATATATACATAAATATCTTTTTCGATTCGCGAATTGAATAATATCTTGTTTAATACACTGTTGAATAATTTTGTTTAATTATTATATTTTTTCCAAGAAATAAAAAATAAGATTATAGTAAAAGATTCTTGATATTGATTAAAATAATTACTTCAAAAATTACTTATTATAATTGTATAATTGCTTGATTAATAAATAAAAATTCTCATTCTCACGTTTGATAGGGCACAATTTTATGACGGCGTGATTGTTCCAGAAACGCGATGCCAAAGCGTAGCCCGGGCTGACGGCGTCACGGTGTTGCGCACATATCCTAACTCGGAAAAATACCTGACAATTATCTACTCGCCTCGCTGCCTTCAGACCAAACCGACTGTCCCATCTCGCGCATTCCTGCGCATTTCGTCCATTATCCGGCGTTACAAGAAACGACTCCGTATCGTAATCACAGTGGAGTCTCGAGTCTACTTCATCAGAGAAGTAAATGCACAAATTACAACTGACCTCTCATCACAAAGCGGTTTTCAGAGAAATTAATAGTTTAATCTAGATAATACCTGTTGGGCATACATACACATTTTTAGGTATATAAAAAAAGAGATAGGGAAGGATCACAAATAAAAATGTTTACATTCTAAAATATTATTTTAGATACATCCGTGTAAACAAATTATTCCCAAATTTGAGGATAGATTAATAATGTCTATTTATAAAAAATATTTTATAAATCACATATTAATATTTTAAATATATTTTTCAAATTTTACTTGTATATATATATATATATAATATTATACATATTATATATATAATATTAAACATATTTGATTTACATTAAATTTAAAAAAGTTAATAATATTGCAAAAAGGGAAATTCCATTTTCTTGAACATCTTCATATGATTTTTCAGAATTTCTTTATAATTTTATAGGTACTTTTTTCGAATTCTTTTCAGATTTTTTTATACGAACTAAAATACTCTTTAGAAATGCTAAAAATCAACATTTTTTCGAGAATTTTTTATATGTGTGTAAATTCTGAAATATTCAAAGATTTCTCTTTCTATAATTTTCAAAGAAAACTTATAAAATCTGAAATTTAAAGTAGTTTTAAAAAATTTTCATAAATTTAATATATACAAAATTCTTGAAAATATTAATTAGGAGATTTTATGAGAATTTTTCTCACTAAAAGGTTTTATTTAATTCCAAAAAAAAAAATATATATATATATAATACAGGGTGAGGCATCTAATTTGATTACCTCGAAAGAAGAAAAACTTATAAATTATACGTTGTACGAAAAACTATAACATACGTGAACACAAAAGTTGCATGACTTCGAGGTAAGTCATTACATAGTGTATAAATTTTTTATACGTGGAAGCGTTAAAAAAATTTTAAGATCAGTTTCGTTTATATACAAAATTATTGCATAATTTGTTTCTAGCGCATAGCATTGTCAAACGGGTAGTACCTACCGGCGCCGCCACGTGTGAACATACACACGTACGACTATGTGCGCGCGCACGAGCAAATACTTGCATCTAACTCGCGCGAAACCGGTATTTGCGCCTTCTAGTAAAACTTTACGAGGATATACAGGGTGCTTCAACAAACCTTATAAGCGCATTAAAGACAAAATTTTGAACACAAACGTTGATAAACTACTGTACGAACTCTAAAGATTGTGCTGAAGACTCGACAAAAGTAAATTACAATTAAACGATTAAAAATAAACGAACTTTCATAAATCAAAATCTAGTAAGTGTGAAATATTGTACGAATTGCTTGTTCTTTATTTTATTTCGGGTGGATTTCCTTTATAAAATATAAATAGAATTTTAATAGAACGTACCCTTGACTATCGAGATATTTTATGTTGCAAATTAAGAAAATATGAGAAGAATATAGAAGAGAATATAAAAAATTAAAAAATACAAGAATATGGCATATTTAATTAAATTTTAATGAAGAAAAAGTTCATTTCAATTTTCAACAAGAAATCCTACCTCTCGTTGGACGTTCTCTCATTACAGACCACCAGGTATAATCAACAAATGGGGCTTCAATACGTTTCTGCAATCATTACACGCCCTTACCACATAAAGGCTCACAAATACACTTACCGGCCATATACGCTACATCCAGAAGGCGTCACTTGCAAAAGTAATCCTTAATCCGTATTGAAATCCGTTGGACAGTGCGTCTTTTACAAAATCTACCTCCAAGCGAAAAGCACAAAGGCACACATCGCTGTTTTCTTACAACACCCCGAATGAACTATCGCACAAAGACTTGACCTTCTTGCCGGTATCACGCAGCACAAAAGTCATTGAGCACCAGATATAAGGGATCATCGTCAGTGTAATGATACTTGGTTCGACGAAATTTAATTTATAAATGAGATTGTTTATCACAAAATCTGCGTAGAAAATAATTCATATATTTAGTCGGGTAATTGCAGCAATAGGAAACTATAATATAATGAAACTAGAAGAAACTAGCAGTAAACTAAAATTTCCATATATACAAATATTTCATTTAAATATAAATAATTATTATAACTTATTATTAATAAATGTAAATCTCTTAATATTTCTATCAAATATATTAATAAAGATACAAGTATTATTATTTGAAGTATGAATTATCAATACTTTATTTTTTTTTAAATCGAGATTATACCAAAATTAAGAATATATATCCATGACAGAAAATCGTTAAGGCATTTTTCATAAATGTAATAAGTTAATTACATTTATTTTTCTGTATCCTGTTGAAGATACTAACAATATTTATTGAAATTATTTATAATTAATATTATAATACCAGATTTTTTATCTTCTCTCTCTTTCTTATATTCTTTTTCTCTCTTTTTTCTGACTCTAAATTTCTTTTTATATAAATTAAAAACTTTGTATGTTTAATACAAATAAACTTTTCCAAGAAATTATATTATAAGATAAGCTGTTAAGATTCTGTCTACTTGGTGGAGATTTCAATGCCCGCATGAAGTGGTTCGCGTTAATAGAACGCTCTGTAGGATCTTGCAAAGGATTATGACTTGCCAAAAATTTTCACACTCCACGTCAAATAATTGGCAATTAATTTGAAATGAAAACTTTTATCGAACAGTATAATAAAACGTAAAATATTCTTTCTCATATGTTTTCTGTACGATGCATATGTATGGTAGAAATTCCGCGCGCGTGATCCGTCGGCAGGCACAATTCTGCGCTTGCTTTTCAACCAAGCAGTAATACGTAATATAAAATGTTTTTATAAATTCGCTTTAGAACTCGTAAAATCTAATTTTTCTAATTTTATAAACATTAAATATTTATTCGACGACATACAATAAAGCATAAAAAAAATTTAATCTACAAATTATACCGATTTTTAGCTAAAAAAATCCTATTTTATCTTGTCACAATTGTTTCAGAAGATTTCCTATTTCTTGGAAAAATTTCAAAACGAAGAATGTTATTCTCGTACGCCTATCAATCATAAATTATCATTCCTCCATGATTGCAACAATTACCCTCAAGATTATATAAACAATTCTCATTGAAAATCTTGCAGGACAATTTTACATTTATGACATGATGATTCTTTAATCTCACCCTTTGATCACTTTCAATCAACCAGTTTCCATTTTCTCTTTCAAATTCCCGACATTTTCAACACAAAGATCACAGCTCGCTTCGAAGTTATGCACAGGTACACGCGCGGACGCACGGTTTCAATTCTTTCACTCTTAACAATACACTTTGAATAATCTGCGACGTATCTCACATCGACGTTTGCTGATACAATTAACTTTTCAGTGCGCACTTTCAGCGTGGATCGTGTTCTTTCGATCGGAAGACTCGAAAAGGCGGCCGCGCCGAGACTGGTCGCGTCGGGAGAAAGCTACGACTCGCGAGCGAGTGGTTCTTCAGGAACCCAGTTCAGTATCGTCTCAAAAGTTACCGACTCGGAGAGCGATTCCAAATGAAGAGTGGAAGATAATGAAACAGCGTCTAGTTGAATAATTCAATTAAATAATTCACAAGAGACAAATAAAAAAATTTAAACTAATTTAAACTATATAGAATTTCACTGTAAGTTATTGATACAAATATATATCTATATTTCTGTTAATATTAATTAATATCCATTATGTAAAATCAGTCAGTAGATTTCTTTCATTTTTAATAGTACTTCAGTTAAATATATATTTAAATACATATATTTTTCTATATATATGATTTATAAATTCAATTATCAAATTAATTATATTTAGATATACATCACAAATCTATTTCAATTCTATCAGAAAATATATAATTGTGTTCTATATTTATATGAATTATGCGTGCAATGTAAATAAAATACATACATTCCACATTGAATTACAGATATTAAAAATTACCTAAATTTAGATAATAATATGGATAAACACGATAAAAATTTGCGATGTATATATTATTATTGTATTTATATTGCATTAATTCTATCGCGCGTAAAAGATACTATTTATAAGATTTAGATAATAATTTATGTAAACGCAATAAAAATTTGTTTCCAGTTTTTGTAATAGTCATTGGTAATTGTCATTGATAATTTTTCAGTAAATAGAACTTTAATTATTATTCATGAAACAAAATTACGTGTATCATTTAGAACGGCTGAGTATTTTATTCAGATATGGGCAACTAAAAATTTGTTAGCCGGCACTGATCCCTACTACCAGAGCAATGTCACCCCTTCCATCATGCCCTCGCCGTCCCGCTAGGACACAACCGGACTATCCCGACTACTATAAATCTGTTATGTCTCGGCCATAGCATAACTAATAATGGCACTGGAATCAGTGTTTATTCGCACATAAAGAAAAATTTACGTGATCTCTTCTTTTAAAAGTAAATCTCTGACATAATCTATTGTTATATTAAAAAAATCATAATTTTATATATAAATTGTATTTATAATATAAACATATAAATTTTTAACGCAAAGAATATTTATAATTATTGTATGTGTTATAACAATAAATGTAAATTTAGTGAAACAAATAGAAATAACAAAATTAATATACAATGGCATTTAGACGTTTTTATGCAAAACGATCAGTTTAAATCTTTTCTGCCAAAAAAGTAGCATTTAATTATTTCATTAATTATTTAAAAGATTTAATATAAATAGTATTAGTAATATTGTAACAATAATCTAAATATTTAACTCGGAAAATTTTTATATTCTTTATTTTATTTTTTGTGTAAATAGAACATATGAGATCGATTAAGAAGTAAACAGTGAAACATCACCATGAAATGTAGCAAAGTAAAAAAAACAATTTACAAAACAATAAAATTTACTTTGGTTATTTCGTTATATCATAAATAAAAAAAATTTTAAGTAAAAAAAATTTTTATAATAAAATAGAAAATGTATGTCATTTTTAATATAAATATTTATCAAAGTTATAAGATAACAGATAATAAATTCTTTATAAGCCAATGGCTTGGTAAGTTAATTTAGATATTTTTGATTTTTCATATACATTGATATAATTCCGTGATTTTGGTTTTCAAAATGGAAAATATTTCGTAATCTATCATTAAATCGCAATAAGAGTGAATGATATTACGCCGCCGAATGAACACGGTAGAGCTATTTCTTATAAATAAAAATCACACATCATTGAAGATGCAACGTTTATGAAACTTTTTACCGATATTCATTGAATATTGATAAATAATATTAATATTTCCAAAAATGCATTCAATGACAAAAATAAATAAGAGATGCATTTTGATAATACGTATGCACGTACGCACGTACGCACGCACGCACACAATTTTTTAGTTTTATACAAAAATTTATTCACAATAGTGTTAATCATATGATAAATTTTCGTACAATCATATATATATATATATCCTCCAGTTTTAAATAAAATTAACTTTTAATAATTAGATGTAATACAGATAAAATACAATGTATATGTCTAAAAAACATTGGTCTAATAATAAATCAAAAAATTAATATTATATTATTCATTATATTATATAATTGCTTAAATTTTAGCGATTACTAAACAGCTAATTCTCGTAAGAATGTCAACCTTTAATAATATCTGTAGATGGAGCAGAACCAAGCTCTGAACAACCTAGAGCAGGACCAAGATCAAGACGAACCTAAAGCAGTACAAAGCCCTGAAAAATCTGAATAAAATGTTCAGAAGTGTAAAGGAGTTACGTAAAAAAATATTCGGATTATAACGAAGACTGTTTATTTCATAAATAAATCAAGCTTATTAGAAGCCTAATTTAATTACTCTATGCACTTTCTTACACTTTACTTTTTTCCTATTTTTATCTTCAAATTTTCCATCTTTGTACATATTATACATCTGTTTTATTTAAAAAATAATTATTACAAGAAAATACAACATGGTATAAACTTTATGTTCTATTTTTTAAATGCATTTGTAATAAAAAAAGAAAGCTAAGTAACAGGAATTTGTAATGATTAATATCTTGTGTCGAATTATCCAGGGTGTTTAGCAGATTCTCAATTATAATAATGATAGTTTTGATTTCTCCTTCACAAATATCCATGTGATTGAGAATCTCGTGCAGCCAAGGAAGCATGCCATATCCTCGTGTGAGAAGTAAAGATGCTTTGGGAATTCTGGTAGTAGAGACAATGACTTCCAAAATTAGTGTCTAAAAGAAACAATAAAACGATTCGTTTATATCGATATATTCAAATAAATAATATAAAATCTCATAACAAAGGAATCTTATAATAAAAAAATTTTCTTCATAAATCAAATTCACACTCAATTTATTTCATTAATATATAATCAATTAAAAATTAAGATTACTTAATTTTTATTATAATTAAAATTTTAATTCAATGTAATCGAATCTCCCTATTCTTAACTAACTTTAAACAAGTTAGTTCTCTATTCTTATCCTTTTCTCACAATCCTCGATTCAAAGATGAATGCACAGAATAAAAATTTCGTTGCATTGATAAGCTATTGACAAACAAGATTAGGATATATCATATATATATATGTTTTTTTTATTTTTTAATTGCTTTTTTACTTTACATATAGTTACGTGATTAATTAATTAATTATGTACTAAATATAAACCAGTAAAAAAGCACAAGAAAAACTGTTAAAAATATGAGATTTAAAGAATTAAATGTAGATGAAAAAGTATTAAAAATAAAGGTATATTAAAAGTAGGAATGATTAACTGTATCGGATCAAATAAAGGATTTCCAGATCTCACCTTGGTTTTGGCGTCCGGCAGTGCACAAATGTGAAAATCGAGCAGAATTTTGAACAACATACATTTCAGAGCCACGTTTACATCGCTTTCCTCCTTCATGCCATCCCGGATGTTCTCCAAGATCCAGTGCCGATGCGCGTTATGTTCCACATGCGAGCTGTGCAACAACTGCAACAGCTCCGGTATAGTACTTAGGTCCAGCGCGGTTTTGGCCATTAGGAAAGTGTGCAACGGTGAGTAAAGCGGGTGCAGAGGTTGACTGGCGACTAGCGAGGCCCTAGCTAGGAAGGTGGTCATCAGACAACTCAGGCGGACATTCTTCAATCCGCATTTTAAGGAAACAACTCCGTTTCGAAAAGCGTCAATTAGACGTATCCATAATAGCTTTTCTTTGGATCTGATAAATAAGGAAATTTAAATTAATTTTTTTAAACTAAATCTTTTTCATACTTGATTGCTTAAATTTATAAATATATATATATATATTTATTTTATGTTTTTTTTTTTTTGGCTTTTTGCATCAGTGCAACTTTGTGATTATATTAAAAATGCAGATTTTTTTTCCCTTAATTGTCACATAAATTAAAAGATACTTTTTAGATTCTTAATAAATTTAAGTTATATATACAATCAAAGATAACTAGACAAACTAAATTAAATTAAAAATTAAAAATCAATGAGAGAGTAATTAAATAACCATTAAACAAACTAAATTGTGAATTATAATAAATAATAAAATTTAAAATTGTAGAAGACTTATTATTTATCATAATGTACAATTCAGTTTCAATATCTTGTTTAATTATTAAAATTGCTATACTTAGACGCTTCCAAATGGAAGTAATATCTAGAGACGACGGTGTACGCAATCATCCGAATGTCGCTCGAATCACTACAACATGCGGCAAATACTAGCGCTAATGCACCACTCTGGCTTATTTTGTGACACGCAACGATATTATTTTCCGCCAACAGAGTACACAGCAACGGCAGATAGAATGCCGGATCATACACATTACTGTCCTCATGTAGTTCATCGTTCTGCATAAAAAAAGACAATTTTCAATTATTTTTCAAAGACAAACGACAAAAATCTTTGTAATATTAAGTCTTATAAGATATCTGAGAGTCTATTTATTTTTGCTTACAATTTACATAAAAACTTGCGTTTTATTTAAAGAAAAAAAGATTATAAAGTGAGAGATATTTCAGACCGTAAATATCTAACATTTTGAGACCGCTCTTGACAAAAAAATATTTGGATCACTTACCTTAAATGCTCTGTGTATGGGATAATTTTTTATAGTCTCGTTAACAATGTCCTTATTGAATAAGTTAAAGACCTCGGAAGTGGAAGGTTGTCTCCACAGGGCAGTATCTGTCTCACCCTTTACGCTATAACGTGTTGCTGCGGCGTTTCCCCACAAGTACGGCCAGTACTGTTGAAGCTTAACGTTATGAGTTTCATAATACTGAAGAATCTGGAAAAATTATATTGTATAATATATCCAATATTTCTGCGATAGCGCGATAATCCCAATACACGTCGCGATTCGTACCTGCAAAATGCGCTGATCGACATGGCAAAGGGTGGCATTGTATGCCGCAAGATAGAGAGGCACGTGCGAGACTGTCATTACAGAGTGATTCTTTCGAGTAAGTATCCTCAGTAAGTCGACCAGGTCGCCTGCAATCATTAAACAAAGATTAAACTTGCAAGTTCCTGGAAAAATTCTAATCTAAAAAATTCTAAATAAAAAATTCACTTTATCGTGCGTTTAAGACTAATTTTCGAATGTGACGTATAATTACAATTTATGTAATTGCAGAAAAATATAAATACTTTTTCTCAGATGAACGTATTTCTATGTTTCTTTTCAAAGAATAGAACGCATTGCACGAACAAACATACCTTTAACAGTGGATGATCCAAGCATAATATTAACAAACTCCGAGTGGGACGTCGTCATTTCGAACAACGTCTTCGCGTATTCATCGTCAATATTATCTCCATAAGCAATATCGCATAAATTACTCAGGGTTTTCAATACACTGGATTGAGTCTCCTCGTCCTTCGCGTCTTTCAGACCTAACTTTAAGGAAAATCTGGTGAACTGCGGCCATGAGTAACTCTTGCTTAATGAACTGAAGACGAACTTATCGTCAGTCCTTTTCAAACGAACCACTGCATCATTTAGCTTCTCGCACAGGACTTTGATTTTTTCGATGTTCTTCGATTCCTTCTTCAATGTCGATGTCATGACGTGCAGCAGCACTCTTATCAGATCCATCGATGGTTTCTCTTTAGCCGCTATCAGACTCTCGTACCTCTTATATACACTTTCCAGCAGCTGGACGAAACAAACGGACACCATATCCAACTTGTCGCCGTTCTGAGAAACGGTGTCGCAGATTCTCTCGCACAGAGCGAGATCGAAAGTGCTTTCGATGAGGTAGACGATCGCCGCTGCGTTTTCTTCGATCCAGGGAACGGGATTTTGTGGCCCGGTTACGTACGCGGTAATGTCGCTGCCGTAGCCCTCGTAAAGACTACGAAGAAACTTTTCGTTCCACTTGTGCTTCAAACTGCTGCCCAATATTGGAAACACAACATCCCCTTGCTTCATATTTTCTACCCTGAGAAAGTATTTCACCAGCGATGAGATCAGCCTTGTGTTCTTGGTGATCAAGGTCGTTATCAGCTGGATCGTGGACGAGATAATACCTTTCGTTAGCAATAGCGCGAAAGTATTGGTACTGACGCCGGAAACGTTTTGCGGAAAGATGGACAGGTATCTTGCCAGGGCTCGCTCCCAATCGTCCGTGTGCTTTGTCTTACTGGACTTCAGGTGAATCAAGTGCAAGCTAAATCTTTCTACAAATTGCTCGTTCAACAAATCGCGTAATCTTGACTCCCTGCTGCAATACATATCTAGCAACACCGGAACGATGCGTCCGAATACGGACAGGTTTTGCTTGTCGTTCGAAATAAATATGGTCTTCTCCAACTTCATCAATGCGAGCAACAGGCTCGCGATATCTTTCGCCTCCAGCTGCAATATTTTCAATAATTCGATGGCGATATCATAATTATTACTGCAAGCTTCCAGGGAATTCCTCTCGATAATATTCCTCAATTGCGTCAGGTACTTACTTCTAAATGTAAAGAAAATATTATAAACCCCTGCCTCATCATGTTTCCCGTACAAGTGTAAGACAGATTCGCAGATCTTCAAAATGGTATCCGTGATCATACCTTCCGCCGAATCTTTTGAGATTTCTCCACAAAATGGCGAGAAATAATGCAGCAGAATAGGATGAGTAAAGATACATCTTGCATTTTCTCGATTCGATTCAACAGATTGTGGAATGTTCAACAGAAACGCAAGCACGAGCTTGCAATTTTCATTTTGAGCCTGCCGCAAGACTTTCGACTGCGCCAATTGTGCTAAATAAAATACGGTCATCTTCAACAAAATCTTGACATCGTATAAAGATAAGGAGTGCTCAATGGTGACTTCCTCGTCGCCGTATTTAAAACAATACGTCGAATGACCGTTATTGAACAATTTCGAGAATTCAGCTACGTCCATCTTGGAATCTGCCAGCAATATATTGCTCAATTTATGCAACAATCTTAGAGACGGCAGCTTGTTCTTCAAGGAAATTGGTTGCTTGCCACTTGACCAACTTTGCAAGTATTTGTAAATTGGTAAGTTGGTCAAATCTGTTGTCATAAAAGTCAGCAAATCCGGTGCGACTTGGTAGTGTAAAGTGTGGACCATCACGTAGGATAAATAAGCCAAGATCGTAGTAGTGCAATCTTTCTCACTTATTTTTTGCAGCGCACAGCATAGAAGTGGCGATACTGCCGTGCAGGCCTGCATTCTACAAGAATTCTCTTTACTAAAATTATTATTATTATTATTAAAGAGAGCATCAATTCCCTCATTCATTTCCTTTTTATCAAGATCAGTAAATTTATTCGTTAAAAATGGTAACGTAGATAGAATTTTATGATAGTCTTTGTTAAAAGAGAAGCTCTTCAGATTCTTATCAAGTAGCTGACTGATTATATCCTCCATCTCTTTTGTATCAAAATTAATCGCTTGATCGTTCCCCTGTGCTATACACTTGGTGTGTTTAATATCTTTCGAATTTTGGTTAAATTTAAAGCTATCGTCAATTGTATCAGCCTTCCTATCATCAAGATTAAATTGTCCATTGATTAAAGACGATCCTACTGCAGAAAATTCTTCTTGGCCGGTGATTTTGTTAGTTTCATCAAATAGCTCATTAATTATATCCTCCGCCTTTTTAACATTGAGATTAGCTATCTGATCGTTTATCCCTCCTTCCGCTTGTGTTATGATACTTATGTACTTGTCGATGTGTTTAATGGCGCTTTTCAGGACAGACATAAACCATCGTGTCAACTGCTCGTTCTCTGTAGAATCCGCGACCACTGAAAAGCCATTGATCCAAATGTCCAGCTGATCCTCGCAGGCTTCGAACAGACCCGTTGTGTTTAGCAGCGTTCTAATAGCACTGTAGCTATCCGGTGACGGATCCTTCTGACGGATCAGAGATATCAAGAAGACAAGAACTTCCTTGAAAGCTTTTTCTCTGGGCACAAAAATGGAAGAGTCCAATGCGAGCAGGAATTGTATTGTCTTGACTTTCATGCAATTTACTTTCTCCATCTTGATAGGTTCTCCTTCATCTTCTTGGAGATTATTTAAACTCGATAGCAACAAATCCGGCTGTAAATTTGTTGAAACATCTAACAATTCTGGACATATATCTTGATACGAGTGAAGAACGCTTAAGATAGTATCGAGATGATCCAGCAATTCCGGATTCTGAATGCCATCCGTACTTTCCGAAGCTTTCACGTCAGTGTCATTTTCAAAGGCTCGGTTCCACAATCGTAAAATAGTTTCCAAAGAGGGGACAGCCCTAAGAATGAAATCTGTTATCTGACTGCGGACTGTAGATATTTTATAGAACTCCTTCGTAGCCGAAGAAATGACTTTCAGCTGGTTAGTCATTGTTAGGAGAAGAGACAAAGCCTCGTGTCTAACGAGGAGACTATCGTGATCTAACCCTGGTAAGACAGCGACTTTTACAATCGCGCTTGGAACCGCCAGTGAAAGTAACGCGCTTATCAAATTGTTCGCCTTCAATTCCGCAGTGCAATTTTTTATGCAGCTAACCGGATTGACTGACTTCACTATCTGCAAAAAAAATTTGATAAGACATATCGAAAAGATGGTGCGCAAAACAATAATCGACGAAATAAACCCACAGGCGTCTCACCTTTTCTATAAATTTGAGGAGAGAAATCCACTTGGGTGACATTCGGGGTTCAAGAAACGGTTCGACGGCATTATACTGCGAACGAATTAGATCCGGGCAGGCGGCCATTATTCTAACAATCAGATCCGATGGCTTTTCATGTTCCCAAGGTTTCTCCAAGCTCTGCAGGATCGTATGTACCAGTTGATTGTGCTTACTTCGCGAACTACCCAGTGTTCGGTCATGGAAAATAACTCCATGACGATGTGACGTTAACAAAATGATTAAGAATTCATGTACTATGTCACTAATGACCTAAATTACAACCGGGAAGAAGAAAAAAAACATTAATAAAAAAACTCGATAATTATGAGTCATATTGTAAAAAAAAAAGTATCAAAAAATTTATTATTTTTCGCAATTTGGAGCCTGAATAAAATTACATACTTTATTTTCTCTTATCAGAATATCATAAAAAATTTATATTTACATATAGCTTAATATCAAATAAATTTACATCCGTTCAATCTTAGCAATCCAAGGAAACAAGCTAACATTATTTGTCATCATTTTAATTTTTTTAAAATATCGTCTTTGACACAAGTAATGTTAGCTTGTCTCCTTGGAATTTTCCTGTTACAAAAAAAAACTTATAATTTTTTATATGAAGTTATGTTGCAATCAATTTTGTTCAAAATCTATAATTTATAATCAAAAGATTGTACAATTACCTTTTTGTCTGCGAGAAAGTTCTCACTATCGTCAACACTATGAGTTTTGTTTTTGGACCAATTGTTCGGGCCCTTCCAGTTGTACAACGATATCAGATTCAATATAGCAGGCACAGAGAATACGTGCATCTTCATAGTTTTACTAACGCCAATATTCTCGAGCACATACGTCTTCACAGTGGTCAGAACCAAGGTGACAGTATCTTTCGAATCGTACAGCAGATCCGAGAAAATGCAGCAGAGCAGACTGCGCTTGTCCAAGAGCGTTCTGATCACCAACGTGTTACCTTCCACGAGAAAGGCAAGAACAAAGTGAATGAAACACGTTCTGACGCTCTGAGGATCCGTGGGCTTGGTCTGCTGCACCAGACTCTCCAACGTTTGCTGCTGCAGCGACAGGTGGATGAGCAGCTCTCTGGACAGACCGCTGTCCAGAGACGCTATCGCCGCCAGCAGCCTCAGTACCACCTTACGCTGCTTGGCACTGCTCTGAATTGAAAGCATGGAATGCACGACCGACATGTGCGAATTCAATAGATGACGACAGGCTTCTATCGCGCTATTTTGGTACTGGGAGCACTCCGTCAAGATCCTAGCGGAAAAAGTTGAATAAGTACTTAAAATAAAAGATCTATTGCTTATACTTTTTGCACATTCAGAATCTTTGCTTTCTCTCTTTCTCTAATTCCTGAAAATATATATATCTCGTTTGCGCAAAAATCTTTAAAAATTTCAAGCAACACGAACAAATATAAAAATGCATTTTTTCATGCACGTTATCTCGTTATGGGTTACCTCATCAGCAAGATGTGGGTTGCGGCGAAGACAGTGGTAGCATTGGCGGTATTCTTCTTGTCTAACAACTTCAGAACCTCGAGGACACTGCCACCGGTGAGCAGATACTCTGCCGCGAGGTCCATCTCTTTGTTCTCGTTGCATACCGTCACAAATTTCCTCAGCACGGCCAAGTTATTGGTAGAAGAGGAGGAGGAAAAAAGCGTTCTGAGAGATTGCCCGTTAAATATATCCTGCCTGTCGACGTCGTTCGTGTCATCTCTATCGGAATCTACGTTTTCACGTACTACTTCACGTTCAAGTACTTCTTCGTTGATCTTCGCCTTTTTTAACGACGTCTCACTCTCGTTCCTCGAGGTCCGCTTGCGTGCCTTTTTCGGCTTGCCAGTCGTATCCATTCTCGTAACTCGTGTTTACCGGTGTTCATCCGCACACGTGCTTCATGGACGACGCCATATTTTTTTATTGAAGAAAAACCTGAGATTGGCGACACCAGCACTGCACCAGCACATTTCATCAGGAACGTCCCATAACCTATTCCCGAAGTGTCCCGCAGGGCGCAGTGTCCCGTTAGCCGGAGATAGCTGGAGTTTACGACTTGTAAGAAAGATAATTATATAGGTTATATAGGTTATATGTATATTTCGGACACCGAGATTAGATATTATTTTTTCAATGCAAACTATTAGGATTAATTTTTTTTCTATACCTAAGCATATATATGTGTTCAAGAACTGTCAAATTTAAATTCTAACTTAACTTTAATTGAAAAACAATTCATGTAAACTTTCCATTTTCCACTGTCGATAACAAAATAGATTTGATACACAAAACGATCGTGTTTGTTATCCTCGGCTAAAACGATCGGTAATGTCGTTGTTCTTCAATTATCCCCGCGGGGCTCACTTAACACTGATCTCTTGCAGTAACGAAAATTTTTATTATTAAAAACGGCCGGCCGTTTTTAATAATATATATACACATAATAGTTCTAAAGAAAAACGAAGGGCACAAGAGCGTATCCCTTTCGAACCAATCGCGTATTACGAATTCAAATATATATATAGCTGCAATTATATCGTCCAAATTGACAGACTTCATTATTATAATTTATAATTAAGTTCCAGAATTAAATAATCTAATATTCGTGGTACTAATTTATATTAGTACGCTACTTACAGTAACATCAATGTATAGTATAATATAATAATGTAGATAAGATTAATTGATATAGTAATTAATAAAAAAAATATAATATAGTAGTGACAAATTATATATATATAATCGCTCTTTCATAGATCCGTATATATATAGGCAGTAGCTTATTAGCCTAAAAAAATATATATTCACTCACCGATACGGCGCAGCGGCCGTATCAGTCACATACAAGCAGCGGAGTTGTTGCACGACGTTAATCTGCAACACAAAGAAATATATCCAAATTACAGCTAGCCGCTCATATAATACATAGTCAACAATTCAATAAAAATAACAAATTAATTATCGCGCGTATTAAATTTAATTTTCACTTTATATAATTGTCTCTTTTAAGCAAAGTAAAATAAATTATTATATTAATATATGCATATCTTTCGAAAAAAATTTGCTTTAATTTACAAAGAATTAAATAAAATAAAGTCTCTTTTTTCAACTGAATTCTCTCGCGCAAACAGGACCGGAAATAGAATAACGTACTCGAAAAATGTGTGATAATTACTCACCCAGGGTTGCTCCGCCGGCGCCTGATGCCTCTCCCAGGACCTCCTCCTCCTCTCAGCTTCCCAGTGATTGTTCACGATATTTGCACAATATTCACATTGTTCACTTACGAAAACGCCATTATTATATATATATATAAAATCGCGCACTGATAATCAAACTACACGGTCCGCGCGGTATATATGTTATAATTATATATGATACATACACTATTCAAACGCATTCAACACGTATTTAATTCCGAGGGTGATCACCCGCTCGTAATTATAATTTTTACGATCGGATGGCGATATGTACTTTTCGCGATACACTCCCGCGACACGAGACGCGACTTGATGACGCTAGAACAACGCATGGGAAGCACGAGAAGACGCGGAATCGTGATCCGCTCGCCATCGCGACGAGATCAGACGAGATCCGAGAACGACTGCGACGGATTTGAGAATTCGGCGACGCGCGGCCAACTTCACACCGACGCCACCGCGGCCGCTCCTATATACGCGTATATGTCCTTCGCATTTTTCAACAGCGAACAATATGTATATTCACGTTTTAAGATGATTAGTATAATTATCTCGTATCGAAATAAATGGTAAACGCGAATGAATGTAACGCGGCGTGTAAGTCAGAGATATAGAGACGCGATGCGTGGAACACGCGTACGCGATACATCGGGAAATACGATTGTCGCTGCGCACGGCCTAGTCTGCAACCGCTCTCGCGTGACAAGGAAATTTCGAATCTCGAAGGAATCCTGCAAAACTGCACTCCTGAGCAACGAGCGGACTTTCGACAGACGGCGAAAAATCTACACGTCGCGCGACGAAATGGAAGTGAAACGCGGGATTAATTGATATTTTATCGGGCAATTACTGAATACCGCGATCCACGGCGCCGTTTCGTATCCGCGACGTTCCGCGACTCATTTCGACGCTAGCGACGCTAGCCGCGGGAGGGGGAAACGGTGCTGCTTTCACTGTCGATAATGAAATATTTGTTACCCTCGGAACAACCAAAATACGTCGGTAACGTCATCGTTCTTCTATTACC